ATTCCTATATTATTTCTAGATCGATGGATGGAAAAATACAAGCAGCAATTCAAAAACAGTGGTAACGATGCTTCATAATGCCCAGGGAACGCAGGCATTTTTAAACGCGTGAGATGTGACTTGTGAAGCAGAAGATGCTAACAAACTTTCAGAAATTGTGATGGCATCAATAGATTTAGCAAAAACTTTATACAGCACTGATGTTTACGCTGTTGTTTCGGATAATGCTGCAACTATGATAAAGGTGGGAAAAAAAGTTCCTATTTGGCATAGTAATTGCAGTAGCCACACTGCAAATTTACTTGTCAAAGACGTTATGAATGAAGAATTAACAAAAAAAGTGCACTCAATATTGAAAGAGTTCAAACATCCAGATTTTGAGAGAGCTCTGGTGAATAGAGGAGGCTGAAGAATAAAAACACCGTGTGATATTCGTTGGTGCACGTATCGAGATTCCTATTTGTGCCTAATCCGAAACATACATGACATGAAAACTCTTATTATAAATGACAATAATTAAAAAAAAAATAAACAACCTCTAAAATCGCTAATCTTTAATGATGAGTTTTTGGATGAAGTCAAAGATAACATTGAGTTGTTTAAGCCTATTTGCAACTTAATAAACATTGCGCAAAAATCAGATTCATCCTCTGCAGAACTACTTTTACATGAGGAACACCAATTGGAGCAGAAAGTTTTCTTGTACTGGTAGATGGACTGCATTCTACCGACTGAAGAATTTGTTCAACTTCATTCAGAGTTTGCTCACCTGCGCGTTGAGAATGAATACTTGTACTTGGAACAGAACCGGTTTCATGCAACCTGTTGAATGTTCGAGTAAATGCTCTTGAATCTAGCAGCATTCGGTTAGGAAACCGTCTCCTATAGTCACGACGAGCAGCACGTGCATTTCCATTGCAGAAATCTTAACAAAACACCATATCAGCATATTCTGCATGAGTCAATATGTATGGCATTATCAACAACTTAATCGACACGTAAACGAAATAATGTTAAATATGAAACATTGACAAATGACTGTTTCACAACAGCCTTGCGTGATACTGACTTGAAGTTTGGGTTGATATACCACAGGCAGCTATAGATCACTCGATTGATAGCATGCCACGCCGTCTAAACGAGTACATTACAAATCGTGGCGGAGCAACTCATTATTGAAAAAAAAATTTTTAATTTTTGTTCTGTTGTTTTCAAATTTTAATCGTTTGTTTGTTCTAATGAAAGACATCGTTGACGAAAATTTTAATAAAATCGTTCAACAAATTCTAGGTGTTGCAATTTTTATGGAAGTCAGTATACAGGGTGTTCCGTAACTCGACCCTTACTACTATACACACCAGATTTAAGACAATCACAGAAGAAAATGTAGAGGCGACAAGGCAGGTGCCCGAGTTGGCCATTGTACAGGACCATCTCGTCCTATCCACCTTTCCGGAAAATTTTAAGAAATACCGTCATTTGTATCCCAAAATTTGATGGTGCATCTTGCTGGAACCACATGCCACGACGAGCTTCTAGAGGAATATCTTCTATCAAATTCGACAATTCTTCTTCCAAAAAGTGAAGGTAAGTTTCTGCATTAAGACGCCTTTCAAAAAGATGAGGCCCAACAAGATGATTATTTAAGAAGACGCAGCACACGTTGACGGAAAAACGATATTGATGCTTAACAACGATTGTTTCGGGTGGGTTTTGATCCGTCCAGATGTGAGAACAACGTGTATTTTAATATCATTCCTTGTAAACTGGGCCTCATCCGTAAAAAGTATGTGTGAAATAACTTCAAAATTATTTTGTAACCACTGACAATACCGTACTTGATTTTCTAAATCTTGAAAATGTAAATGCTGGACTTTGTGTAAATGATAGGGATAAAGTCCATCATCGTGCAGAATTCTCCATACGTAGTATGAGGTATTCTACGAATACTGGTAGAAGGACTTCGTTCAACTGCATTTAAAACTGCTTCAGACAGCATAAAGACTAATTATAACTTTTTTTAATTCCTTCGATATCTCCGAAATAAAGAGGAATTCACCTATAGGTGATATAACATTTTTTGATCGTAATGACCCCCGGAATATATGGTATAAGTTTGTCGGTCGAGTCACGGAACACTCTGTATATCATTTCCTGCTTAGATCGATAGAATATCGGACGTATAGTAGTTGAAAGGAGGAAGAATAACCAGATTCAACACTGAACTGTTGCAGTTGACAAAGATAAGCTAAAGCTATTTCAGGAAGAGTTAGCGACAAGCCAATCAACCAACGAGGGCATGTCAGCATGGAAAAGATGGGAAAAATGTAGGATAGCTCTCCTACCAACTTGCTCAGAAGTTATACATACGTAAATCACGGAAAAGAAGCGGCTGGTTTAACACCGCCTATAAC